CCCCCCCCCCCCCCCGTCTAACTGGCAGTTCTTGTGTCCGCAGGCCGCGGCAACAAACGTCGCCGGACCAGCGAACCGCTGGAGATCGAGGACAGACTGGAGTCCCTCATCACTCGTGTGGGGGAGAAGGTAAGGACATCGGTCAAACACAGAACTACCTTGATACCTTGATACCGTCTACAGTCGAGTAAGGCTTCTTCCCGCCTGTTGTGGACTGATCTTAGACGCCTTCTTCGTACTTCAGATGCTCCCAGTGTCGATCCAATCTCGTTTTAAACTGGTTGACTGTTTCACTGGATAATTACTACACTCGACGGCAGCGAATTCCAGTCTTTGATGACCCTCACACTGAATACATGTTGTCTACTCCTTGACTTGGCCAATGGTACCTTCAACTTGAAGTTGTGGCCTCTTGTTGTACCCCCTGCTAACTCGAAGAAGTTGTCTGCTTGTACCCTTTCTCGCCCAGTCAGGAACTTGAACACCTGAATCATATCTCCCCTTCTTCTTCTATACCCCAGGGACGGTAGTCTAAGCCTCTTTAGCCTCTCACTGTAGGAAAGCTCCCTGAGCCCAGACACTAGTTTTGTAGCTCTTCTCTGCACCGCCTCCACTTTCTGCTGGTCCAGGAAGTGGGGTCCCCAGATGTAACTAGTGTCGTTACAAGTAATTAAAGTAACGTTCGTTAGTCTAGCAGGGTTCTAGCTTGTGCGAAGTAGCGTAGGGCCCCCCTACACTATAATTTTGACCCCCTACGCTAAATTTTCCCCAATACGCTAATTTTCAATACAGCATAGGGGCATTGTGACTGTATTTCTTTGTTCAAGAATGCCAGATGAAAAATTACCAATCAATGGTACATTGTACATACCTTACTAAGTTAGAAATAACATTTTTTCCCTTTGGGTATCCCTCAGATGGCCTCTTTTTTAGCTCAAATTTTTAAAAGCTCCCTTGACATGCAGCCAGTGCCGCTACTGACTACACTAAAATTAAATCCTAGCTAGAACCCTGTCTAGGGTAATCTCTCAATATGATCATATTGGCACTGGTCTATGGGGCAAGGGTACCCATTGAAGTAACAGGTTCCTCACTAGCCACCCAGTGCAGAAATCGTTATGTTTGAACACGTTTTTTTTCCAGAGCACATCATCATTAGAATCTAACCTGGAGGGACTGGCTAGTGTGCTGGAGGCCGACCTGCCAAACTACAAGGCCAAGATCCTCAAGATTCTTGTTGACTGGTAAGTTGTAACTGTGGCTTTTACTCTTAGGCCACACCAATTTAATTTGTTGGTTCTCGGATTCGCCTCTTCATTTTTTTCTGATTTGCAAAAAAAAAAAGATTCTGGTTCTGAATCAACTCAAAAATGCTCATATTTTGCCCCCAACAGTTGAGGAAATTCCTTTTCTTCCTAGTTGTTACAGTTTTTTCCATCTATCAATGCAGTGGTTCGATTAAAAGTTCAAAATTTATACTTTAAATTTTAACCCAGCCTTTTTTGTTGACTTCATGGCTCATATTGTAGCATTTGGGGCTATAATAGGATGCCTAGACCTGTTTTATTTTTAT